TTATTTTTTGTGCATCTCAATTTTATTGAGACTTAGTTATTTTTTGCGTTGAAAGCTTCTGGAGTATATAATCAGACTCGCACTCAAAATAATCAATAAAGTTAGAAATATCTAATACCCGAGGTAAATAACGTTGAATAGAATAACATTCATTCATGAAATGGAATAATATATACCCACCTAATAACTTTCCTTCATGCTGTATAAGTTTTATTAAAAGGAAAAAATTTTACATACCACCTACAGCCCAATAAAAAGTTAATTTTTTCCAATTTGTGAGAAGGCCTTGCTGCCCACTATCAATTTCTTTACTTATGACTTTGTTGTAATATATGAAAATGATATATCAATGTTGTTATTAACTTTTTTTAGTCGTAGTACGGTAAGAACAATGTAAAATCTAAAAACAAGACATTCGACATTAATTGGCGCCTAAGTAAATTCTAGTTTTTCTTCAAGAATTGTTCTTTTTTATTATACATTATATAAAATACAGCTCAAATAATATAACAAAAGAATACATTTTATAATGTATGTTTTCAACATTAGTAAAATAATCAAGTTGACTTCACCCACATGCCTTGAAAATTATTTCAGAGTAAATAATTTCTATCTACCTAACTCTTCGTCAGCGTAATTTTAAGTATAAGTGTAGATAACACTATAAATTATGTTCTATACCTACCTAATGAATTAATACATTTTTAAAATAGAATAGTCATTTAAAAAATATATTAATTAAATGCAAATTCCTCCTAGTGCCACACCTGTCTTCAAAAACCGACATAATCAAAGCATCTTCAATCCGATAGGCGGCTAGCATCTGACGTCACACGTATGACAAACAAACAACGTACCGAAGAGGACCGATCCCGCGACCTAGGTGACCCTTCGTCTTCGTAGTCAAAATAGTTGTTGCCGGTCGTCGACCTTCTCCTGTGTTTTTGAGGAAAAGGCAGTGTTTTGTGATGTGTCATGTACTGTTGAATTAAGTTGGCATGTGGATGTGGCAGCAAATTAACTTGTTTATTAATTTAAAAACAATTACAAAGTAAGGTTGTTTTGTTACAGTGTATGCAGTTCATTTATATACAAAGATGCAGAGGCCATTTTGTGTAAGATAAGTCAAGAACTAAATCAAGTTTAAAAACCGTTCGATTTTGAGAAAAAACTCAAAAGTTTGAGTATTAATATCTTTAATCCTAGTTGATCAGTCCTTTTCGAATTATTATATATAACAAATATCTACACAAATTAGTCTTGCCTAAAGTTTGAGCAGTTTCTTGAATGGGGATATTTAGTTACAGCAACTTTTTCATTGTAACGACATTTCTCCAGGCGCAGGCGGCGCAATTATTAATGAACTTTGATTAAACATAACTCGGAAATTATGCGGTAAAATGCCCTGAAATTTTGCAAAAGTATCGATCAGGTGCATAATCATGAATCTGAAAGTTTCATGATTATCTTGAATAGTGTTTGTTTAGGTGATGGTGATACCTAACTAAACAATTGGATTATCTTGATAGAATAAAAATGTAATACCACCTAATTCTAAATATTTCAAAGAGAATTAGGTACTCAATTAAATATAGGTACCTACAATAATTTTTATTAGAATTTATTTAATTAAATTTATGAAAAATAAGTATGTAGGTAATTCCTTTCAAAATGAGGTTTAGCCTCTAGCATGGACTTTATTGGCACCTTGTATTCTGATTCTACTTCAACACCTGCTCCTTGGAGGGCCACTCGTTAATTATCGTATTCTTTTATACACGAGTACATCTGTATGTTTTGAGGTCAATTTTGAATGACCGAAGTTAACACATCTGTTATTTTTTTATCATGTCATAACCTTGAGAAAAATACTTTGTTCTGTACATACCTACACTTGTCATGTTCCATTGTAAATATTTTTTTGGAAGCTTATCTAATGTAACAGATATATTACTGCCACGTAGCTTAGCCTTTATTAGTCTAACCTATCTAGCCTATATTAATTATTTTAATTAATTTATGTATTTCTTTGTCTTTACAAGATATTACTAAAAAGTTAATCTACTTAAAATGGGTATTTAAAAAACTGATTTCACATATCAATTTAAGAAGAAAACATATAAGTAAAATGTCCCTTTTTTGACGTTTTTGATGTAAATGATTTTCTGCCTCAGACAACATTTTTTAGTCAAAATTAAAATTTTACTCCTCATTGTTTTGAAAAAATAAAACGTGACTGATTTTTCAAATGCTTTATACTCGTTTTTGGTGGCTATGGAAAAAAACAAAAAAAAATAGTGAAATAAAACCTTGTGCCAAAAGTATTATTTTTATGAAGCTGACAGTGGCGGCTCATGAAAATAAAGGTGGTCGTATTTTGGTAATATAAAGCTGTTTTTATATTTTTCTCAATATTGTGAATTTTCCTAACTTACAGAATTTTGATGTTAAGTTAGTATCAAATGGAAATTTAAATATACACGTTGTTTGGTAAGTCGATGCATTCCTTGCAGGAGATTATAGTACAAGTGATTTGTGATATATTTCCTTAATATACCATATTCCGAAAACGCTTAGTTTCTGATGTACAGGGTGATAAAGTTTTAATAAAAAAATACAAATTTATAAATAGTGCGGAAACCGCTCAGAATATTTTAATGAAATTTTACAAGCTTTGACAATTAACAACAATACATGTTTTGCCATAAAAATATTGTTTTTAATTTCAGCAGTGGCGTGCGCACAAGTACGGCTTTGGATATTTTTAAAGCAAAAAAATGATACGCCACTGATTTTTTTTAAATAAAAATTATTTTTCAATTCCTTGTTCAATTTGGAAAAGAAAAGGTACCTCGACTGTTTTTCTTATGACGTACCGTTTTCGATTAAAAAAAATTAAAATGGATTTATTGCATGGCGTAATCCGGTTACAATAATTTGAAAAATAGCAGAAATTATGCACTCAGCTTTTTTTTTGTACCAATTTTATTACAAAAAAATATTATTTCTCGCAGTTAAAAATTTTTTATCAGTTTTTAGATTCACTATTCACTATCTAAACAGAAATTAGCAAGTTGGCTGTGCACTCATTTTTGTTATTGTTTGACAACATTAATAATAGCTGTCACTTTGAGTGTTGGAGTGTGAAGCAGTTAATTGCATAATTTTTGCTATTTTTCAAATTTTATTATTGAAACCGAATTACGCCAGGCAGTAAATCGATTTTATTTTTTTTACTCGAAAACGGTGCGTCATAAGAAAAACAGTCAGATATCTTTTCTCTTCCAAATTGAACAAGGAATTCAAAAATAATTTTTATTTTAAGAAAAATCAGTGGCGTATCATTTTTTTTAACAATATTCAGACATGCCTGCGCGCACGTCACTGGTGAAACTGAAAACAATATTTTTATCGTAAAACGTGTATTGTTGTTAACTGTCAAAGCCTGTAAAATTTCATTAAAACATTGTGTGCGGTTTCCGCAATATTTATAAATTTGCATTTTTTTTATTCAAACTTTAACACTCTGTAGATCGGAAATTAAGAGTTTACAGAATATGGTATATTAAGGAAATATATCACAAATCACTTGTACTATAACCTCCTGCAAGAAATGCATCGACTTACCAAACACCCTGTATATAACAAAGAAAATTGAATTTTTACAAAGTTGAAAAAGTAACTGCTATATCTCAAGGTCGGCAAGTTCAAAAATTTTTCGTCAATCATTTTCTAAAAAACGGTACAGTCCCATACTTCATTATCAATTTAATTTTGACCAGTGGCCATTGGAAACTAATTTTGTTTAACCAAAAATTGTTTATTGAAAAGACAAATAAAAAATAATGACTGAATCACACATTGCAACAAGTTGTTAGCGTTTCGAAAACCAGTTTAGTTTTCTGAAAACAAAAACAGATATATAATATAGCGATAAGTATTTTGTATTTTTGTCTCTTTCCTTCAGGGTTAAATTTTTGGTTAGATAAAACCAGTTTCATAAAAATAACTGATCCTTTTAGGGCAAATGTTTATTTTATATATTTTTTTAATTTTTTCCGCAGGTGGCAAATAAATAATCTAAAATTATATTACAAACAAGTAACTAGAAAATAAAACGGGAATAAAATAACTGAAATAGTTGCGTTTTGATTCTGAACATGGTCATTTTGTACTGTTTCTTCAGATCTCTGTTTGTGAGTTACAATTTTTTACAGAAACAAATTTTGACATTAAAATCAGAACCATAAATCATTAGCAAAGTAGGTACCTAACTTATAACACTTATCTAAATATACATTATCAATTTTTTTTGTGTGAAAATGATCTTGAACACTGAATGATTTCAAATCAGTACCTACTTGACATAGGCATACAACAAGTAGCGTGATCTATTTTAGTTTGGGCCAGAAATGTGATTTAAATGAAACATTATTTGCGAAAGAACAATTAACCTGTTTATAAAAAGATATTGAATCAAATCCTCTACATGTGTCGTATTCAAATATTTTAAAATACTTAGGAAAAACCGTATGTAGTTTTGTACTTTATTATAAGCGTTGAAAAAATGAATTTAAATTGACAAACATCTATACGTAAATGTAAATTACTTAACCATTTGATTTCATACTTACCCTTCGCTTTTAAATGATGTTGTCCAGACAAGGAGATGTCATTCTTAATAAATATCACAGCATTAAAGTTGTTGCAGGCTGGTACAATATAATCACATATTTTTTTTCATTATGTAATAATTAAATAATATTTAATTTTATGCATTTTAAAATTTTTGTATTTTTTTCACTTTTATTCTTTTTTTGTAATATGTATATCTAAACTTTTTTTTTTTAAGTAAATAATTTATTCAATTGTATTTTTAGCATATTTTTTTCTATATTATCCGTACATCTTCCTGATGCCACTGATTTTTTATTTACTATCAAGTTTGGGTCGGGTCAGGAGGTTGGGGTGCGATGTATCACAGAAATCAAACAAAGACATTATTAATATCACCAAGACATGTTTATTCTGTCGGCCTCAACAAGCTCCCAATTTATAAACAAGTACATTTGCAAGTGGCGCGGACGTCAGCGTTGGGCAGGCGAGGGCCTAATAACCATGTCGAATCCCTTCGCCCCGCCGGCCGAGCGTCGCGTCCGCAGCCCGAAGAACATCAATGAAAACAATATTAACAATAGTGATAATAAAGTAAATACAACAACTGTCTATACCGCTGGATCTGCTGAAATCGGTTGAGGGCAGAAATTCCACGTCCTACAGGAGCGAGCAAGGAGACAAGCGTGGGGGGCGCCACGCGGGTGATTGGCCTCTAACCGGCCGTAGTACGATGGGGACGTCGCCACCCCCCTCAGTCTCACGGGTCTCCTCCCCAGCTCGCCCGACTATCTACAAGTAATGAGATGGTGGTGATACAAATAGGCGAAATGGTCTCGTGAACATGATTATGAGATGAGTCTCTACAAACTGAGATACGTAACACAAACTTATACATAAAAGTAACCTACAAATCAATTTATCACATATATTAAACAATAATATAATAAATTTATTACAATAGGATTGATTGGGTGCCGATGCCAGTTTTATCGATATAATTACCTAATCATAAATATTCATTTACATGGATCTATTTAAATTAGTGATTGTTTGAAACCTTAACTACAGAAATGGGACCAGGGCGGCGCGCCGGGGGGGTTGGTCCACTATGTACAGGGTGTGCTCGCCGCCCGGGCCATGGCGGAAGTAACTTTACATGAGAATGCGGGTTGGGCCCGCCCTACACTACAACATAACATGGGGCACACATCAACATACATGTTATATAGACAGATATTAGGACTGAATATACAGCAATATAAATTATTTGGTTTGTAATACGATTAAAGTGGCACCTAGATGTCTTTCGCGCGGGCGGCTAGCAAAGTCCCAGCCCGCGCGGCATGTGCACTCCACTTTGTACTAATCTCACGAGCACGGCGGACGCCGCAGCGATTACACCTCCAGCGTCACCACCTTCAGCGGCCTCGGCGACGGGGACGGCGACTTCTTGGAGAGATTGAGCGGCTGCTGGGAGTCGGCGATGTCCACCTGCAGCTCGACCATCTTGGGGATGGAAGTCAACAGCGTCGAGTGCGGACTGGCGGGTGACCTGGATTGCGGGGGGGCCGGCGACGTCGAGTGGGGCGACTGTGGGTGCAGGTACAGCCTGGAGTACTCCTGCGGCTGCGGGGGCGGCGTGTGACTGTTCTGCATCTGGTTCTGACGGGCGGTGGTGGTGATGACGCTCGTCGCCCAAGCGGGCTGCAGCAGCGTTCCGTTAGTTTTATAGGGACAGGCCGTGGGGGTGGCGGTCACCATGGGGGAGGCCGCATGCGTCTCGCCTCTCATGATGAAGTTATGGATGATGTCCGTCCTTTTCATCTGTTCGGCCGTCATCCTGGGACCTTCCATTAGGGACTTGGCTAGCATAGAATGAGAGCTAGAGAGGCTGGATTGCGGCGCAGACGTGAGCTGAGATTGCACTGGTTGCGGGGACATTATAATTGCGGGCTCGGCCTCGGCGGAGTCTTTGTTTCTTAACGCCCTGAATTTTTTATGTGGCTTGTAGGCCTCGTCCATCAATGAATTCGTGTCGTACAAGGGAGGAGCTTGCAGAACGCGTTTCAGCACTGGCATGTCTTCAACAATGTGGTGGTCCTCGACAGAGGATCGTGGACTGGAGCAGACTGAAGTTGGCTTGTCGACCTTTTCGGTTCCAGACTCGATGCCAGAATCACTGGGAGAATCTAATTTGCGAAATCTTGGATGGGAGACGTGAGGCCTGGAAACTGGAGTTATTGTCAACCCATTGTGGATTAGGTGTGATGTGGCGGCCAACTCGTCGTCTCCGGAGGATGTCGATCCCGAATTGGCTCTGTGCCTGTGTGGGCAAACCCCTCCAGCCAAGGTGGCGGCCAAGAGGGGGGCGTTGGTTACGTTTGAGCTGATATGGTGACCGATGGGTTGGTGATAGTCATGGATATTGGTCATTTCTGAGGAGCACATGGATTCTGTGCTGGAGACAGAGCCGAGTGGGGATTTCGCCTCGTCCATTGTAACGTCAGACGAAGAGGACCACGATGAAGCCGCAGGGCTTTTGCTGCTGCTCTCCTCTTCTAAGGGGGAATTCCACAGATGATGCTGTTGCTGCTGCATCATCTGCTGCTGCTCCGTCATCTTAAATGCGAGCAATTTCTCAGAATGCAAAGTGTTCAGCGTACGCAAATCTGGGATTTTCTTCATCAATTCGTCCAAGATATGAGGACGGCCGTTATGATTCTGGCTGACGACGACGTGCAGAGCAGCCTTTAGCTTGTTATGCATTTTTTCGATGAGTTCCGTATTTCTGAGACCGGGACGATCCGCGGCAATGACCACGACAGAGCAGAAGAGGCCTATTTCGGCATCTGACAATCTGAGAGCATTCATACGTTCCGCGAAATCGAACATACTGTCCATAAGGAACCGTGCGTTAGAACTGTTGTGAATCGAGTCTCGTTTGAGCACTTGTCCATTTAAACAAATCATACTGGAAGTTTGAGAGTCAAACATACACGCGAGGCGCACAAGCAACACTTCAAAAACACCAGCCTTCAGGAGGGTAACTTGATCATCCTGGGCCAACAGGGAAAACCCAGGAATGCGCTTGGCAAACTCGACTACGCCGCGGATGGCGGGCGAAAATCGTTTCGAGAAATCTTGCAATAATTCCTGTTGTCCAGTCAGAGGCTGGGGATTTGGGTTGAGAGGACATGCCTGGAAAAAAAAATTATATTTAGACGACTTCTGCGAGAGTAAGGTTTGGAATGCGCTAGATATTTTCGCGTTATCTGCCAAGTTAAAAATAACTTTTGTCAGTTTTGAGGGAAGGTTAAGAATAGTGACGCGACGAAGGTCAGGCGTGATTTTTTTACAATTAAAATAGAACCGTTTAATTACCTTCCGCATAATTAGATAGTTTCGCATTTGACCGGTGTCAAGTGCGTGTTAATTTTTGTTCAAAGCCTGATAAAAACTGCACGGGTGCGATTGAAAGAAGAGAGAGAGAGAGAAACACAGCGGAACCTTGAATATTTCCGCTTGTCCCTCTGCGTGCAAGGTCGCCCGGTCTGGCTATGTATGGCTTTGTTCGGGGTTCATTCGAATTTTGCCCCATTTTTTTCCGCCCTTTGGCTTCTTTGTACCGGATTACAAACCAAAATTAAGGAGTAATTATTTGTCACTGTGGCAGAAAACGGATATGCTAAGAAAAAGAAAGTAAACTTACCAGTGTCGGTGGACAGGCGGTGTAAGATGGATGATCTCTCGCGCGTTGTAGCATGGGTTCGACTTTGTCTCTGGTGAAGTCGCAGGTGTCAATGTGCGCCCTGACGACGGTGGCCAAAAGCCTTTGTTCATCTTCAAGTTCGGCTGTGACGGCTTTTTCCAAAGTGCGGGAATTGGAGCTCTGCTGCATGGCAGCCAGGATGCGGGCCTTTTCCCTTTTAGGTACACGACCGAACCTCACAGCTGTAAAAAAAAAGACACTAGGTTAATTTAAATATAGACGTGAAGGGTTTGCATAGTTTATGAGGGAGATCTTAAGGTGCCCAGGTGGCCCGTTAGGCGCGTGTCAGCTGCTCTACATCTGTCATAATCCGTTAAGGTATCGAAACCGGAGAAAGTAATAGGTCCGATGCGAAAAGATGATATGAACATGCGAGAGAAATTCGCTTGCTTTCACACAAATGAAAGTCTGTGGGTCAAGGAAAGTACGAATTTGAATACGGGTGAAAAAAAAAAAAAACGTCAAAGAGCCGGGCGTATTTGCGCACAAAAAAATCGAGACACCTACGTGCGTTGTGGTAGTTGACTACTCCGTTCAGGATCCCCTTGAGGATGGGTAACTCTTCGCCCATTTTGCACTTTTTAGCACTTTCACCTATCACATGTGCGCGTACTGCTGTATGTATCGGGCTGCTAGTGCGGAGCGCGCGACCTGGCATTCCCGAACTGAGTAAGTAGTAACGTGTAGTGGCGCGAACTCGACAGCGACAGGCGTAGCACCCACGGTCACGATTCCCCTCTCGCGGCGCCCCACTCGCGCCGTCAGCCTTTCCCCTCCATCACCCTTGAACTTGAGCTGCTGCGTCCGCGTCGCCGATCATGCTTTGACGCTAGCAGTGCCCGATAGCTGGAGGAGAGGCGGGGGAGGGCGCCAAGGTCGCCTCATGCCCCGATAGCACCGTCACCCACCGGCTAGGTGGGACCCGGGGCACCCCCTCGGCGCGCAGCCCCACAAACCGCGATATTGCGATTGTTACATGTTATCGCGAGGGATTATTTTTAGATTCCTCGGCGCGGTAAACAACCATTTCTAATTTACATAATATTTTGATAAATACGTGGAGGCGTATTGTTGGCTGCCTGAATATGGCGCAATGTTTTCGAGAAACTTTAAAAAATTCATAGATAGCCTCACGCTTTTCGAAATAATCTCCCAAGTAAATGAAATCGAGAGAAAACGACGGAGGATAATGTCAGCGCCGCCGGAGCGAGTGAATGGCGCTGGCTGCATGTGAAGTAGGTATGCAACAGCATGCCACATTAGCGTAGGAGGGCTATTGACACAGTCCGCTGATACGTTTAGCGCAAGCGTCCGTGAGCAGCATCGTACAGGTTTGTGGCGCTAGGCGCCGCCACCATCCGGCCCGCTGAATATTGATACGTGAATACATGCGTATTGCGAACCTCTTAAATCGCCGGATTTTAATACTACTATTAGTAGACAATAAAATATGAAAAAGACGAATTTCTCCTGCGGTTTTAATTACGGATTACGAAACCGCGACTTTCTCACGCGGAAGTCGAGCGGTGAGGAAAAATGCCAGACATGAAAGAGCGTTCGGCCGCTTTCATCGCACCCGATGATACATTCTTTAATTTAAATACCCCCTAATATCTCTAACACTTTCTCCGAATTAGTGTGTGTTCGAGCAAGGTAAAAGTGTCGGCCGGGGGGAAGAATAGTTAAATGATTTCCCAACAACGCCAGGCGGCGCGCGGTTGCATAAAGTGGGATGGTTGAATGAAGTAAAAGTGTACGCTGGATGTAGCACAACGATCTGGAGTTCAACAGTGGATGGCCTCAACACGGTTAGCGCCAGCAATGCAGCATTGTGCAACGATTGCGAGATATCGGAGTAACGGGCAGTGGTAACTTTCGAAAATGCCGCGACTCGGGGTAGTATGACCCAGTATTGTCGCCTGGGTCGTTCACCTCCAGCTCGGTGAACTTTCTCGATCGCTGCGCGCTGCAATTACAATTCGCACGCGGAGGTCGTTCACCCCGGGACCTGGACGACCTATATTTACCGAAATAATGACAGAACAATGGGCTGACTTACCGTCTCTGCTCATGCCGACGGCGATGCACTTCTTCAGCCTGCAGTACTGGCACCGGTTCCTGTTGATCCTCAGGATGGAGCACTGTTGGTTTTTGGTGCACGGCCTGTACTGGATCTTCTGCTGGATGCTGCGCCTGAAGAAGCCCTGTGAAGCACAATCGTTTTGTAGGCAATCGTCACTGTCGCACCCCGAGCTGCTGCTCTCGTCGACACTGGGGGCCTTGGGCCCCTGGGGCACTAAGGACTCGGTACAATTTAGCACAGCCATCATAATTCGCACGATATCTCGATAAACGCTCAATATTATCCGACTAATGAACGACTACCACATAATGTGGTAATAAAACCACTTTATATTGTTTACAAATACCAGCAATAAACACTTTTAATTCAGTGGGCGCTGCTTTGTGGCAATCACGACCAAACTGCGAGAAATTCAGGAGAGGACTGAGGCCTAGCGTTCGAGTTCGCCACAGTTAACCAGTTGACCCAGTTCCCGGTTGTTCACCCGCCGAAGTAAGCTCGCGAGGCCAGTTCACTGCGTGAAAGTGAGAGTTGTTGGTCTCTTTCCCACCCGCTAGCGTGCAACGGGCGCGAGAGAGAGAACCGGCGAGTTTCGTCACTCGCTATACATCAAGTGTGGTTGCCCCAATGCTAGTTCACAAGCCCCTTTGGCTAGTTTCTATTTTTTCAAAAATCCCCATCGGCCCGCCGCGGATTCGGTGCAGCTATGAATTTCAGTGCGTCCGCGAGAATTTCCCAAAAAAGGACCGAAGTGTTGCGTTTGTTTGGCGGCTACGGGAGAGATCGACAACCGCTAGGTCGATGACCCGCCAGCGAAACTGGTGCAATTCATAATTGCATCGAAATAAAAATGTAAGTAGTGTAACAAACAATACTGTATCATTGCTGTGGATTTTAAAAGGAATAGAAATTGCCGATGTGAGCGTACGAAAAACGCGCTTCTAGGTAAAAATAGACGAAATTTTATCGTACGCGTCGAGGAATGGGGCCACGGCAATTAACGAAACACAAACTGGTGCAGTGACACATAATCGGGTTACCTCTCCGGTCGCGTCATCATTTTTGCAAATTAGCGGGTGACTCGAGCGTTCACTGAACCATCAACAAGTCAGAGTAAACAGGAGTAGTGGATAATTGGCCGGTCAAAGACTCTTCGCACCTCGCGTAACCCGAATATGGGTTTCTCGAATATGTACGCGTGACGTCAGATGCCTACTGTCACTGTTACGTCAGCGGGGACGACCCGCTTATGCCAGCAGCAGGCCACAATGCGCCTCTGCAACTCCGATCGGTGTCAATGAACGATACTCGAACATTCTTTTGTTTCATAAATCTAATCGGCTGAAAACTACGCGAATTTCACAAGCGCCATGGTACACGATTGGGCAACGGCTTACTGCAATTAATGCCTGTTTGCATTCATAACACCTCGAAATCTGCGCCTGGTATTTCACAAAAGGGTACTGACCAGAAACGGATATTTTTTTTGCAAAAATCGAAGCAAGGAGCTTTTTAACGGCGTGTTTACTTTCTACTGTTTAACTAACGTAAACCAAATAAATGATTCTAGAACTTATTTTGTACGGATTGCGACATTCTTATCTTCTTAAGACTTCTTGAGCGTACGTATGTAGGTATGGTTTCGTACAATGTTTCAGGAAATGTATTATTTTTTACAAACGTTTCAGTAAAAAAACTTACTATGAAAATTTATAGCGACCTAAAATTTTTCAGTGGAAACAACACGCCATAAAAATTAATGTGCAAATATTTTTCCTCCGATATAAAGCTGGCCCCGAAATCGTAGCGCTTTTCTAATTCGGTAAACAGCCACAGCGCGTCCTAGTAAAAAAGCACGAAAGATCGTAAACAAAGAGGTTCCACATTAACGCTATCTAACTGGGTAACGGATATGTAATTATGAGCGTTGGAGAATCGGGGGTGCAGAAATATTGAGCTGGTCAGTGACTCGTAGCACCATTTCGCGCGTTATAATATAGCCTGGCAATAAGGCTTGCACCCACGTCTAAGGTCATCGCAGTACATCGAACCCGACGTGCAACCGAATTGTGTTTCTCGGAATCCGCCGATATTAGGCCCGACATAATCGGATCGCGTCAACGACACTCGCGGGGGTGGCGACGCCGCGTATTTTTCGGGCAATTAGGCCGAGGGGAGGCGAACGGTCCGAAACAAACGCAACAATTCGCTTTTGTTTTTTACTATGTCTAGTACCCGCGGGTCAACGTCCGTCGAACTAGGTTGTCGTACTCTGCGACCATTCGCATTGCATCACCAACGATAACGGTGAAGCTGGGCGCATGCGTCGGCAGAGTTCGTTGCCCCAATCCAACATTCCCGTATATTCTACAAAAGCTCACTATTTGGGCCATACCGACCTGGTTAATTTTATCTCTGGTGAGCAGCCTGTAATTTATAACAAATAGATTACAGATATTTACTCGCTGACCCCCATTTTTTTTTAAATGTCGGCCGTAACGTACCTACACGTATATGCACGCCACTCGAACGGAAAATGGGATTCACTAGTAAAAAGAAAGTTTATTATTTTTTTATAAACATGGCTGTTATGAGAAACTAAACGTTGCGTAATCGCTAATTGTGAGATAGTGAAGTATAAATTGTTTTTATTAGTAATCTTTTCGTCACCCCATTTCGACAGGTTCTGAAATCGTTACGAAACGGAAAAGACGGGCGAGCTCATTGTTAACAAACAGAATAATTAAAAAAATTGTCTAATTTTTATAAACTTCATATTTCCAGACCAATTCCAAATATATAAATGGTAAAATTAGGCAGATGGTAATATTTTGTTGCAAATAGTAGCAAGTACTTGTACAAGCGCCCATTTTATTTAATATTTTTTCCTGATAACCTTGATTTAAATAAATATTATACTTAAATGTGTTTTCCTCCTGTAAACAATACTATGAGTAATATTTATTTTGTTCTGTATGTTTGAAGTAACAGAATGTGAACGAATATTTTCCCAGTACGATTACAAATAAAAAACACTTATTGTTTATCTATTAATAATCTATTAGGTAGGTGAATTAGTAACACACTTATTTTTAAGCACTAATTTCTAACATTTTTTCAAATAAGAGGAAGTAAATTTTGCAACAAGTGCAATTGTTTTTTCGAAAAAAATGGATTGCATCTCGAGTAGGATTTTTTTTCTACTATGTATAATTTTATGTTTGATTTAATTTACATTATTCGCTTCCATACCAATTATTTTCAAAAACGCACTTTTCTATTGTTACTAAAATGGCATTTGTTAAGTAAATGTTATTTTTTTAATATTTTTATTGGAATTAAATGGACTGCTAGAAGGTCCACGCAAATTAACATTGTTCCGTGTTTTGACATCTTAATCATCGTTTTAATTGAGAGAACAGAAAAATTTAAAATATCCCACTTTCCGAATGTGTTACTGTTAAATTTTCGTCAAATTTGTTTCATCAAAATAGTGTGAAAACATCATTTTGATGTCTGATAAAATCGCCAAACTTTCCATTAATTGCTTCCTGTTTTCCAATTGAATGAAAGACGAGTAGAATTCACAACATTAGTCGAAAAGTAACTTTAAATAATTATTTTAATAATTCGACCAAATCAGTTTAACCAAAACAATTGAATGGTACGAAAAGTTAATTTTGATCAGACAAATTTAACGGAAGATAGCTTGACACGGGTCTTACAGATTTACTTATTCAATGTAACAAGCAAAAAGAGCACAAGTCACGTTAAAAAGTGTTGAGGCAGGTCCTTACATAACCGCTCAATAGTTTTAAAGTTTTTTCAGGCTACGCTTAAAAAGAAGCCTAATTGGTAGAGCATCGGTTATTTTTGTCCAACTCTGAAAGGATTGTGTCACGCGAAAGGATAATTTTGTGGATAATACCGAGGCACTTAACCGACATAATCCACCAGCACCACGCCAAAAATAATGGATTGTGTGTGTGTGTGTGCCCCGAGTGGCGCATTTCCTCGTTCAAGATCAGAGAGATAATCTTTCTGTTCTATAGTTAGCAAGTGCAACGTTCTGGCTAACTAATACCGTTACCCAGAGCGTACGAAAACGCCTAGTTCCGCGAGGGGCAGTGCGGTCGTTCAAAAATCGCGGTCGTTCACCTTCGCGCGCGCGCGCGGCGCCATCTATACGCGGCACCGCTCAACCTGCACCGGTAAACATTTTTTTCGCGGAATTCATAATTAGCGCTTGCAGAATTTCAATGTGAATGAACTTGTAGGTTGTGAATGTGGTGTGCTCTGGATGCGCCACTTTATTGGTAAACAATAAAGCTGCCAACGAGGATTGGTTCCAGGAAGAAAGCGGCAACAAGGGTCACATTTCTGCCGTTCGAAACTTGAACAAGCATTGTATATAAATACTTAATAAGTTTGTTAAGCAAAATTATTTGCTAGCGGTGGTTTTGTTGTTGCGTTTGCATCATGAAGCTTATTTTACGTTTTTGCAAAAGTACCATTTGTACTAAAGTCCCTAAGTGCTGATAAAGTACCACAATTAACTGTTATTCCGTCGCAAAGCCCTTATTTACTAATCTTGAAACAAAAATTTGAATTTACAACACATTTTTATTTTTATGTAAATAATTTGCACGTTTTGAACAATTTATTATGCAATTGTTCAATATTTTTATGTAAAACTCTGCAACAATTAAACTTTCATAGTTTTCTGATGTAAAAAACACAAATTGTATATTTATTAAATTGTCATTTTGAGGCAAACGAGAATAAGTTGTTGTTTATACTAAAGTCCCTAGATTAACAGTCATTTTGCCCTTTTGTATTAAGTGACTGTTAAATTTAAATTCTTGTAGCAATAAAATATTGGGTTATTACCAAACAAAATATGTAAAAACTAAATTATTGCAAAAAAAATAAACTTTCAAGATTGACAGTAGCGATTTTGCGGTAGAATTTGGTACTTAATCAATATAAGAACTTCAATTTTACTAAAGTGCCTGGTGCCTGAACTAAGTACCGATACCATTTTATGATTTTGAATATTCCGCTATTATTACGCTATTAGACGCTATTTATATGAAAATATAAAATATTATTGTTTCAAAGTTGATTATTATATTTCTAGACTGACAAGAGTGATGTTGCCACAAAATGGCAAGTGATTGATTCTTGTAGCAATAAAATATTGGGTTATTACCAAACAAAATATGTATAAACTAAATTATTGCAAAAAAAATAAACTTTCAAGATTGACAGTAGCGATTTTGCGGTAGAATTTGGTACTTAATCAATATAAGGACTTTAATTTTACTAAAGTGTCTGATGCCTCAACTAAGTACCGGTACCATTTTGTGATTTTGATTATTCCGCTATTATCTACATTATAAAATTAGACGCTATCTATATAAAAATATTAGTTTCGAGTATTTAACTTAAACGCACAAGTTTAAAATATGTCGATTTCGAAGTTGATTCTTATACTTCTAGCTAGACTGACAAGAGGGATGTTGCCACAAAATGGCAAGTGATTGTGGTATTCATTATCAACATAGGTACTTAGGAAATATGTATTAAAGTCCCTACACTATAGACTGATAAAGAACCGCATCAATGTTCTTGTTTGGATGAAAATGGCAGTTTAGCATATGTTAATTTGTGCTAGTTATATCAAAACACTATTAAAACTTAATTGCGATATTACAAATAGGAATATACAGGTATTGTGTAATAAACAGTTCGAAATATGTGAAAATTATTTAATTGACTAAAAATGTATAACAAATTCAAGCTTTTTATCAATATCAAGGGACTTTAATTTGTACCATTTGTCAATGACATCTTTACAAAATTTTTACAAAAAAAAAACAATTATGACATAAGGCATTGGCGAAATCGAAACTACCGAATATGAATTTACGTCCTTATTTTAAGGACGACTGGGATTTTATTAGAATTATTTAAGGGCCTAAATTTACTGAGTCTAAAGGGTAGAACGCCAAATTTTTTTTATATAACCCATAAAATCTACAATATTGATTGTCTTCTTTGGAAAACATGTCTAGGCTATATTAACGTTTGCACGGGCAAAACAAAGGGCGTTTTTTTGGCTTGCCGTTCTCCTGTCCCTTTATTGTAGAAGGCTTTTTAGCCGGAAACACTTGTTTCCACTAAACCCCTTTTAAGTTTTTTTTTTTTCATAAATCTGACCTGGACTAATAGATCCTCACAAACGCAATATGTTGGGGAAAAAATCAGGGCGGATGTTGCGAAACGCACCCTTTGTGTCCAACCCCTTCCCGAGCCGAAATTTCACACAAATGCGGATTCCACCCGGCCGAAAGGGTACCAACAGGTAAAATGGGAATTAATAACGGGGCGATCTCAGGTATCGCGAGCTATCCCAAATAAATTGCGTGAGCCATCTGCCCACGGCTAACAACCCTTCTCGATCGGCGAAGGGTGGATGGGATCGGAATTTTTTGCCAGGCGGTGACCCTTTCGCAAGATTTTTTCGTGGGGTGGAGGAGAGTCGGCGCAGGTGGTAGCGCGGGCGGCTTCGCGCAGGTACAGAGCGTCGACCTTGAGATGCCAGGCCGGGTTCATCACACTCTCCGAGGAGGCGAAGACAAAGACGGAGTCTGTTCGCAGGTACTCACGCACAGGCCAGATGTAGGGACCGATTCGGAGAAATCCGTGGACCGTGGACCACTTTTACTTTTCGAGCTGGCGGGCAAGTTCGGAACGAATTCGATTGCGTATATTTTACGATTTATCGCCAGCCGGTTGCGTGAGGAATTTATTTTCGGGCGGGGGTTTTCATATTCTTGACGAGACAGAAACTCACCGGTATGTTTTTCTAAAAATAGTACAATTAATTAACATTAACATTAATATTTTAACGTAGGTAATGCCAAAAACGCCTAGTTCATAAGATTTTGCGGTTGTAACCTCGGTTGTATTGTAACTGATTATTATAAAAAAATATAATTAAACTGTGTTTTATTTAGATAATTAATAATTCGGTAAAAATGCAGAAAAAAATTGGAGAAGCCGCTGTTTTTTCTGAAGCGAAATGTTGACAAAATTAAAAAATTGAATTAAAGCAATCCGAAATAAAACAATTAAACAAAAATACGTATTAAAATATTTTTTCTGATACATTTTACTGGAATAAACTTCAATGAGTATGAAAGTGGCACATTTTTACAAAATTTATACAGGATGTCCCAGAAATAATAATCTAATAAAGGTTTTTTCTAAAACCTCTTGGTTTTTAAGATAATTTCAATGTTTAAATTTAAGCAGAAAAGTAGGAATTTGTAAAAAAAAATTCAAGATAGTTTCATAAATAATCATAAAGCAGTCTCATACATTACTCCGATATTGTTTAGAACAAAGTTGTTGCTTTTTATAAGCTTTTATTTAACTTGCAATGTATGTATGTTTGTTCGGGTGGTATCTTGCAACTCAATTTTGAAGCAGATATCCTCAACCGATTGAGTTGAAATTTTGTATACACGTTCAGTTTGGATGACCATGCATGGTTAACTGTGTAACGTCATTCTAAATCCAACATGGCGGCACATGCAAGATGGCGGACTAATTATTTTTTCAATACACTCCTACATTATGGGTATCAAATGAAAGGGCTTGCTAAGAATAACTCGAAAAATAAAGTGACGTCACTCTAAATTCAATATGGCGGACTTCTAAAGCTTGAAACTCAATTTTGAAGCAGATATCTTCAACCGATTGAGCTAAAATTTTGTATACACATTCGGTTTGGCTGACAATACATGATTAGCTGTGTGACGTTATGTAGGGTAAAATCATTAGAAGGTCTCCTTATTGAAGGGCTAGACTGTTCGAAATTAACCGGCAAACGACCTTGCAATAATGATGCGTTGATTGAGATGAACAGACTGAGGAACGTGTCCAGCGATAACTAAAAAGTAAAAAATAAATTAAAAGTAAAAAAACCTTTTTAAAAAACAAGCTTTTATTTAAACGCGCAAAAAAAAATAAACTTTAACTTTAAAACTTTTACAAAGTAAATACGAGTACTTAAATCTCGCGACAAGCTTTTATAACATATAAATTGTGTAATGACGTTTTAAGTTGATGGTAAAAGTTTTAAAGTTAAAGTTTATTTTTTTCTTTTTAGCGCATCTAAATAAAAGCTTGTTTTTTAAAAAGGTTTTTTTACTTTTAATTTATTATGTTTTATGTTCAAAATTTCGGCACTTATTTCTGGAACACCCTGTATATTCGGGATGGGGAATAATAGGATAAATGTTTTAATGATTTTTGGCAGTTTGCAGACTATCTTTAGTCCTCAAAACGTTCATATTTTGTGTACTGAAAATTTGTTTTTTAGTTTCATGGAGATATGTACAGTTGATGCTGTTTCATTAAATTTTGCCTATGTTTCACTTAAACTAAGTATGCCCTTAAAATATTTTAGTTGACTTGCTTAACAGAAACAAATTATTGAAAATCGTAGCAGCTATGAAATATTTAGCCTACCTAGTTTCCTTGGACACTACACGTAACAAGGATAATTACTAGTGACTGTGAAAACCTTGAAAAATAAGGAGGAAAAAAATCAGAGAATTTATTAGAAAAAATTCAGGAAAATTTTGAACTATTATCATTTTTAGATTTTTAATAAAAATCCTGAAATTTACGAACTTTTTACTATTTTCTGCTATGGAAGAATTAAAAATTGTTAAGAAACTCTGCATCAAATAATAATTGTTTTGAATGCAGATATTTATGCAACGTATTCTTTTTTTTTACAATTTATACGATTTTAAACTAGAGGTATTTTCTCAGTTTCTAGACCAAGGGTCGGCAACTGGCGGACCGCGGTCCAGGTCCGGACCGCGGAAGGTAAAATACTGGACCGCCAAAAATTTTTTGAAAGTATAAATTAATCAAATAAATTATTTAAAAAATGTTTTTACGTTTAAGTGCCAATCTTATCATTTTTTCTAGTATTTTACAATTGTGTGAGTGTTTTGAGTTCTTAATTAGTAAGCAGATTAAATTTGAGTCCAAATTAAAATAAAAAAATAAGAAATATGAATTTCTGGAATTTTTCTGGACCTCGTTAAAAATTTTCAAAAGTATCCGGACCCTACCTAAAATTACTTGCCGACCCCTGTTCTAGACCAAAAATATTACGGCCATTCCAAATTTACTAGTTTTCTGTTGACTATAATTAGCCGAATGTCTATTAGCACGCGGCGTTTTTCAAATGCGGCAATTACAGGGTCACGTGGACGCCTATTAGCTATATTTAAAAAAAACGCCGGCCTTGCGTTTTAAAATTCCAAGTTCAGCTGCCTACGTGTATATCTCTAATTATCATTGGCGCGATGATTCGCGAGGCAACGTTTAACAGCGATAAAAAACTTCCTACATACTAATAACGCTTAATAAAGACCGTACTTGAACCCAGATTTTAGGCAAAACCTTGAATACGGTTTTTATACGTTCGAAAGCTGTTCACAGCGCCTACTCGATGTGGAGTGTTCGCTCTCCCCGCGCCCCCCGCGCCTCCCCTGCCCCGGCGCTCGGACATTGACATTAGAATAACCGACCTTCAACCTCCATTTCGCACAACAGAACCCCAGGTAGAGGAGGCTCGCAGGCACAAAGAGCGCAATTCCGTCGTCTGGAAAGGAGCGATTTCCCGAAAAAAAAAAAAACCCGCCCCAACCGCCGGGTGTCCCATTACACCCTTGAAAGCGTTTCCGGGTGCTTAATTCTACCGCAAAAATACCAAGGTAAACATTATATAAAACGCGGTCCGTTTCCGCGTTCAACGTTTCGCCAAGGTTTCCATTCAATACCGAGTCCTTAGTGCTGGTTAGCGAATAGGTGATAATTTCGCAGGCTTACCTTGCATCCCTCGCAGGAGTGCACCCCGTAGTGGAACCCTGAGGCCTTGTCGCCGCACACACGGCACAGCACGGTGGTGCCGTCGAATTCTGCAACAAAAAAAAATCAATTGAACTATGATGTCACCGCAGAGAACGTGGCGAGAAAAGAAAGCAGTGCTTTCTCCGGCGATGCAGCAGCTCGCGGTGTTACATCACCGGGAGAAAGTGGTACGCCAGTGCATAAAGACAATTACGTAACTTAGGTGTGAGAGCATCTGTGCTCCGCTGATCGACAATTATTTCTACCTGTTAAAAGACACCCAGATCGACCGTTGGAATTTTTAACACAAGGATATTGCGTGCACGGTTTCGGTTTTGACCGATAATAAGGGTTCATTCGTTCCTAATCTGCTCGAATGATAATTTTTAATTTTAAACAGAGATATACGTTTAAACAAACACTGGAAATGTTTATGGTTTGGATTTAAAAATAAAAATCAACGCCCAAGCTTTAGAAATATTTAAAATTGTCGCAGTTATTGTTTAGTGTTTTATAAACAGTTTTATACCTAGGTTTAAGGCAGGTTCTCTATGGTTTGAGGAAATGGTGGATAAATCCGTGAGGTTGGCGGTGGTGGACTCCGGAACCTGGGGGTTGGCGTGAACGTTGTCCGGCGACAGAATCATGTTGAAAAATCACTGGTACCGCGTAATCACAATAAAAAAAATATGCAACAAATCACAACTGGCGAGCGCTCATAGTACACAGACAATTAAAAGCACATGGGTGAGTAGTAGCATTGACACTGAACAGAACAACCACCGGTTGCAAGTCCAAGAGCAGGCGAAGAACTGACGATAGTGAAAGTCCCGGTACCAACTGGGCCTCTCGAAGCCGGCGTATAGTAAATATTAGCCGCACTACCTGAAGGGCGACATACGATTCTCGACCATTTGGTGCGGCTCGGGCGCGGGGAGGAAGATTTTAGCAGGAGAACCGCGAACTTGTCGAGTTCATCGCATTTTCAAGTTGGAGGTCACTGACAACAATGCCGCGGAGAGCCAATAGCGGCCCGACTGAGCCGCGGCTATTGGCTCAGACGGCTTAGGCCCCACCTGGAAGTAGGGGGGGCCTTTGCCGAGGAAGGAAGTTCATCGACACGAACCTTGACTGAATTACCCAGACAAGCGTTCAACGCAACGGCCAAGGACGCACCAATTGCGCACTCACTCTCGCAGCTCATCGAAATCAAAATATATCAGTTCCTTTCACTTGATTTTTTGGTGACCACATCTCGTATTTGTTGCGATTTTTGTTTACACCGCGCCTCGTCCCGTCCCGACGAACGTCGCACCGACCACGGGGACCGAGAATATCGCGTACCGTGATTTGCATAAACACACGATTAATTACGGTATCCTTTTCGGCGTCGCCACAAATAACTCCTGGTCGGTGCCATAAAAGAGCAAAACGAACGCGGATTATTCGTGGGATGCCTTAGAAATTGCGCGTTGACATATCGGGAATTATCCACATTTATGTTGTTAGATAACGAGAACACGATGGCGTTGAGATACGTACAGGGTGGCCCAAATAACGCCATCCCACTATCTAGCTTATTTGAAGTGTAAGAGAATAACAAAAATTACCTACGTTAATTTACAATTTATTAAAAAGAGCAGGAAAGTAAATGATGAGTGTCAGTTTGCACCAATTTCTACGAGCGATTATGGTTTCATAATTTCCCTAGCGTGCAACACTTTGTTTTCCACGAAGGCGCTATTTGCAGTTCACTGGAAAGCCTCCCGTACAACAACCCCGGCCAGGATCGATGAAAGTAATTTTAATATAATTGCGTCGCGGGCAGTGACCGCCGTTTAAGCCGGCGGAGAGAAATTAAAAAAAAATCGATCCCTGGGTGATTCCTTGCAGCGAAACGTATCGCGATCGTCAGGAACAAATGTATAGTTATTCGTAGGTTAGTACTGTTCATTATTTGACAGCTTTTTGACAGCAAGTCGGCGATAGTAGTGTAATTTATTGTACAGAGTGAATTAAAAAAAAAGAAGGGCATAGCTGCTCAATGTTGTCAAAAATTGTACTTTTTGCGGATTTCTTCATTTAAACCGACAGTATGGACAAAATTAAGTAGCACCTCGTAGGAAAAAGATAAAAAAAAGAAATATAGCGTTTTAAAGTTTAGGTGGAACAGATTAAGGGAAATATAATCATATTTCACCAGCACCCCATTTACACCCTCAAAATTGAGCCCAAAATTATAATTTTGGGAAAAAATTTACATTTCTTGCTCTCTCGTTTGAATTTTTTTTTTTTCAAATGATACAAATCATTTTTTTATAGTTTTTGAGGGGAGGAATACGATTCTATTGTTTAAATTGAGCTAAAAAAATTTAGAACCCTTAAATTTACGAATATTTCAGTTTATGATGTTTTTAGCTCTGATTTCCGCTCTTATGCATCGATTTGCTTGAAATTTGGACAGTAGGTGGGGAATAGCTCAGGAAACAAATACACCTTATGCTGATATATATTTTTACCCTGGGGTTTCTACCCCTTTGTAGGGGTTGAAAATAAATTTTGTCAAAATAATCCCGGGAATCTATAGAGCAACTAATTTCAAGCAAAAAACGTTTCATACAATTTTTTTACCTTTAACCAAACCACTACTTTTTGAGTTATTTGCGATTGAAAACTCAAATTTTTATTTGAAATTGACAAATTTTATTTTCAGCCCCTACAAAGGGGTAGAAACCATCCCCAGGGTAAACATATATATCAATATAGGGTGTATTTAGTTTCTTGAGCTATTCCCCACCTACTGTCCAAATTTGAAGCAAATCGATGCATAAAAGTGGAAATCAGAGCTAAAAACATCTTAAAACTGAAATATTCATAAATTTTTTTTTCTACAAAACTGTTAAAAGTAACTTACTTTTAACAAGCGTGTCAAAAAATGACATTTTTAACATCAAAAATGACAATTAAAAAGCCCACTTTTAACAGTTTTGTAGAAAAAATAGTGTATGATATACGTGTTAAAAGTGATTTTATTTTGTTCGTGAAGTTAAAAAACTCGCTACGCTCGTTTTTTAATCATCTTCACTCACAAAATAAAATCATACTTTTAACACGTATATCATAAATAGCTATTAGCTCAATTTAAACAATGGATTCTTATTCCTCATCTCAAAAACTATAAAGAAAAGTTTTGTATCATCTCAAAAAAAATGTAAACTTTTTCCAAAATTATAATTTTAGTTCTCAATTTTGAGGGTGTAAATGGGGTGCTGGTGAAATGTGATTATTTTCCCTTAATCTGTCCCACCTAAGCTTTAAAACGCTATTTTCCTTTTTTTTATCTTTTTTCTACGAGGCCCTACTTAATTTTGTCCAAGTGAATTATAGTGCGGCACTTTGATCTCATTCTGACGTTTTTGGTGTCCTTGGATAGAGAGGAGTGATCAGGGCCGTAACAAGAATATTTTACATGTATACAAAAGAATTTTAAAAAAAGATAGTAACTGTGATAAACATAATTTAAAAATTACTAATTTGGAAAATTGGCTATAATTTTCGCGATCTTTTTCTAATCATCTTAGGTAGTTTTAGAGCAACTTTAACGTAATATAATAATTGTATAAAGCGTTTGTGTTTACTGATGCTTATAACGCTAACGAGATTCTCAAATAAAAGGTCTAATTCTCTCTAATAATTAACATAATTACATTTTACATAAAAATGTTAGTTGATTGAATTAATATTGACAAAATCCTTGAAAATTATTTTTGTATCGTGCTCCTTACAATTTCTTAACGTTAATCGTTACACATGTATTTTATATTTTTATTATTATACCTGTACAAGTATAGGTACATATTTTACAAAGCAATATGATAATTTATTTAATTCCAAGATGAATTTTCTTGTGTAGGAAATATGCAGGCCCGGGTTTAGGGGAGGGGGGGCTACGTGGGCTATAACGTCAGGCCTCGGCAAGATCTTTTTTTTTAGAATCAAACCAAAAAGTGTGAAATTTTATATTGTTTGGTCCTACGTAGACTTGTAGCCCTGGACCTCACCATAGGTTAATCCGGCCCTGGAAATATGGCCCGAAATATTTCTTTGTAAAAATTATTGTGTTATTTATATCTTGTATTATGTATAAATCTATGTACTACAGTCAAACGGAATACATTTTGTAAGCAATTTTAAAATCTTTGTTTACAAAAAACATCTCTTCAAATAGGTGTTTACATACTTTTAAACTGTACATATTATTTTTACGATTTAATAGTAAGCACGCTACAAACAATAACTAAACAAATAAATAAGTAACGTTCTGTTCATTCACTATATAAATGTGATTCAATTTATGTAACGGCAGACAATGAACTCTGTGTAAGAGGCGAGGGATAGAATTGTTGTCACTTTCTACAAACGCTTCTAATATATACGCACCTTCCCTGCATTCCAAGCCACTAATCACTTCGTATACGCACCGAACCTATTCATGCAGTTTAGAGAAAGCTGGATACGATGTTTGGAGTAAAATTAAACAACCGTTATTATGTTTATCTGGATTGGACGACGGAGAAAGACGATTTATGGTAGCAACGGATTCGTTACGAAACGAGTTACAAGGATTGCGTTTGGAGGTTGTTTTTGTAATTTCGTAATTGTAAAAGGGCAATTAATAATTAGATTTTATTTATGTAAGGTAACACCTGCTCGTAATTATACGGAACGATCTACAATTTTTTTATTCACTGGATACTTATTCATATTTAAATTCGAATGTGGCAAAATTAGAACGTGTTGTCATAATATAAGAAAAATTATGAAAAGTGGTTATTTTTCATGAAAAATGTCCCTATTGTAAAACAGGACGACAAAAAAATAGTGCACCTAATTTTGGAGTAGATGATCCTGTTCAAAATAAGAAAAAATATTTCTATGAATATATAGGGTGTTTAGAGAAAAAGTGTCATACATTATGGGCTGATAGAACTTTAAGAAATAAGACAATTTTTTCCTGTTGGTCGTGAGGTCGAAAGGCCGAAAAAATTTGTTTAATCTAGCTTCGGCT